CCTCTCTCTCTCTCTCTCTCTCTGTCTCTTTCTCTCTGCGCCTCTCTGCCTCTCTCTCTCTGTGTGTCTCTGTCTGTCTGTCTGTCTGTCTGTCTCTCTCTCTCTCTCTCTCTCTCTCTCTCGAACAGGAAAATGGATCATTTTGCTTAGTTCAAAGTAAGTTTGGAACCTAGCAAAAAAATGCTAAATAATTTGACAAGGGATAACCCCCTCGTGGCAAACGATAAAATAAACAGCGCTCAGTACATGATTATAACAAGTAGCAAGAGATTAAAAGCTCAGTCCGTTCAACTGAACCGAATGTAGGCTGGAATAAATAAACGATTAAAATCCTCTTAAAAGACCGTCAGGGACAGGCCTGGGTTTATTTCTGCACGTTGCCTCAAAGTAAAGCTCCTTCTAGGTGAGCTCACACACGCAGGGCAGAGGCATAAAATAAAAGGCTTTTTTCCCCCCTTGGCAGCGGTAAGAAATAGGTGGCTTTTGACGTCTTCCAAGATTCTTTCTTCCCCATTTTAGCCTCCAGCCCTGCTAATTCCTGGTGGTCTTGCATCTCTGCACAGTTTTCCAAGGGGGGAGGGCAGGCTAGGAAGGGGTGCCAGGTTCCCCCACAGTGGGGGAGAGACTGAAGAGGATCACCTGCTGGCAATATCTGTTTTATTAATTTAGTTTATTTTTATTATTTTGTACGCCGCCCTTCACATAGATGGCTTACAATCAGTAAAAAACTAATGGAAACTAACCAAGGGGAGAAGCAACCTAGAACTAAGGAGAAACTTCCTGACAGAACAATTAACCCGTGGAACAACCTGCCTCCAGAAGCGGTGAATGCTCCAACACTGGAAGTTTTTAAGAAGAGACTGGACAGCCATTTGTCTGAAATGGTATAGGGTTTCCTGCCTGAGCAGGGGGTCGGACTAGATGACCTCCAAGGTCCCTTCCAACTTTATTATTAATAATAATAAAAACAATAAATAATAGCATCAAATTAGCGCAAAGTTGACCAGGACTGGGAGGAAGGGAGCAAAATGCACATAGGGACCAGGTGAGTTCTTATCTTAGTCCAGGGGTAGGCAACCTGGGCTCTTTTATGACTCGCGGACTTCAACTCCCAGAATTCCTCAGCCAGCCATGCTGAGGGGAAAGGGAGAGGTTTCCAAGCTGAGCCATGCTGGCTCAGGAATTCTGGGAGTTGAAGTCCACGAGCCATGAGGGGGCCATAGTTCCCCCTTGCTGGTTCAGGAATTCTGGGAGCTGAAGTCCACGAGTCATGAGGGGGCCATAGTTCCCCCATGCTGCCTCAGGAATTCTGGGAGTTGAAGTCCATGAGTCATAAAAGAGCCGAGGTTGCCTAGCCCTGGTATAGGTTCTCCTGCCCCTGTCTTAGTCCATCACTCTTTCTCAGCCCAGCCCACCTCATGGGGTCGTTGTGGGGAAAATAGGAGACCATAGAATCAAACGGCTGGGAGGGACCTCATTTAGTGACCGTCTGAAGGTACAACAGCACTGAAAAAAAAGGTTATTTATCACTGTTCTTCACCCTTGCGACTCGCAGCCTCCCTGTGGTCACGTGATCAAAATTCAGAGACTTGGCAACTGGCACGTACTTGCGACGGTTGCAGTGTCCCCCGCGGTCACCTGATCCCCTTCTGCCACCAGCAAAGTCAACGGGGGAAGCCAGATTTCGCTTAACGTCCGTGCGGCTACCTTAACAGCTGCAGGGACTCACTTAACAATTGGGGCACAACTCACTTAGCAACGGAGAGTTTGGGCTCAGCTGCGGCCATAAGCCGAGTTCCACCAGCAGCCAGTGGAACTCTCCACGCACGGATCGGGAGGTCTGCGTCCCCCCCGACAGTTGGTGAGGGCTTCCTGTGCTGAGAAGTGACAGCGGCCTGAGCGAGCCTTGCGCACGCCTCCCCCCAGAGACGGGCTGTGTAAATATTTCTGGTTGTCTGTTGCTCTCTGGAAACTGCAGGACAGATGAAGAGGAACCGGGGGGACGACGTAGACTTCGAGACGCCTGGCTCCATTCTGGTGAACACCAACCTGCGGGCGCTGATCAATTCCAGGACCTTCAATGCCCTCCCCCTCCACTTCCAGCAGCAGCTGCTCCTCCTCCTCCCTGAAGTGGACAGACAGGTAGGGGTTCCCCCCCCCCTCTTTCTCTGTCTCTCTCTGTGTCTCTCTTCTCTCTCTCTCTTTCCCTCCATTTCTGTTTCTCTTTTTCTTTCTCCTCCTCTATTCTCTCTTTTTCTGTGTGTCTTTCTCTTTTCCTCCCTTTCTCTCTCTCTCTCTGTCTCTCTCTTTCTCTCGGTTGCTCTCTCTCTCTCTCTCTCTCTCTCTCTCTCTCTCTTTCTGTGTCTCTCTCTTTCCCTCCCTTTCTCTGTCTCTCTCTCTCTGTTGCTCTCTCTCTTTCTGTCTATGTCGCTTTCTGTCTCTCTTTCCCTCCATTTCTCTCTGTCTCTGTCTCTCTTTCTGTGTCTCTGTCTTTCTCTTTCCCTCCCTTTCTCTTTCTCTCCCTCTCTCTTTCTCTCCCTCTCTTTCTCCCTTTCTCTTTCTCTCCCTCTCTCTCCCCCTCTCTCTTTGTCTCTTTTTCTCTCTGTGTCTATATCTCTCTCTCTCTTTCCCTCTTTCTCTTCCTCTCTCTTCTCTCCGTCTCTTTCTGTGTGTGTCTCTCTGTTTATCTCTTTCCCTTTCTTCCTTTCTCTCTCCCCTCTGTCTCTCTCTTCTCTCTGTCTGTCTCTCTCTTTCTCTCCCTCTCTTCTCTGTCTGTCTGTCTTTCTCTCTCTCTCTGTCTATATTTCTCTCTGTGTGTCTTTCTGTTTGTGTGTCTGTCTTTCTCTGTCTCTCCTTTCTTTCTCTCTTTGTGTCTTTCTCTTTCTCTCCCCCCACCCCCACCTTTGGAATGGAGTTGGTGCCAGTTTGGGCGTTGTGCTCACCTTCGCTTTGCTTCCTTCTAGGCTGGGACAGACGGGCTGCTGCGTCTGAGTGGAAGCGCCCTCAACAACGAGTTTTTTGCTCACGCTGCCCAGAGCTGGCGGGAGAGGCTGGCAGACGGTAGGTCTCCTGCTTCTGGGATGAGGAGAGGGGGCAAGCCTATCCTTGGAGCAGGTGTCGGCCTAGCACAGGGGTGGGGAATGATGGCCCCTTTGTGACTTGTGGACTTCCACTCCCAGAGTTCCTGGGCCAGCATGGACCATTGCAGCATCCCCGTGGTTGACGTGATCAAAATCCAGGAACTGGCGTGTACTTAATGACGGTTGCACTGTCCCAGGGTCACGTGATCAACATTTATAACCTTCCCAGGGGTTTCTGACAAGCAGACTCAATGTCAGTGGAAAGAACCTTGTGCAGACGTGTTAGGTGTTCACTTGTACGAACGTGTGAACTCCTCGTTGGCTCTCTGCCTTTGGTTCCTGGCTTGCAAAGTCGAACAGGACACGCCGATGACCTTCTTTTCTGGGTTCCCATGAAGCCAAACAAACTGTAATTCTTTTTTTTCTTTTCCCCCCCCCCTTTCCAGGGGAGTTTACTCACGAGATGCAGGTCCGCATCAGGCAGGAAATGGAGAAGGAAAAGAAGACGGAAGTCTGGAAAGAGCGCTTTTTCGAGGACTACTACGGGCAGAAGTAAGTGTCCGGTTTGGAAATAACTGGCGGGCAGCGTATAAATTGAATAAATAATCGGCAGGTCTTTGTGGGAGCTGGCTCTGTTCCCCCACGGCTGTTGCCAGGGCCCAGGGCCCACAGGTGTCTCCTGCCCAAGACCCACAAAGGGGTCCTTGACACCTTCCCTGCCTGTCCCCAGGAGGGGATGTGCTCAGTGAGAACGCCTAGCAAGGAAGGCCCACCCAGCCTTTGAGACATTTCTCAGGAAAGCTTAACGGGGGTCTCTGGCCGGAAGCCTGTCGAGCGTAGGGGGTCTCCAAACGTGGCTAGTTTTAAGACTTGTGGACTTCAGTGGACTTCAAAATGACAATAAAGGTCATCTAATCCAAGCTTCAAGTCCCAGCGTGGCCGGCTGGGGAATTCTGGGAGTTGAAGTCCACAAGTCTTAAAGCTACCACGGTTGGGCACCCTTGGCTGAAGCCAAGGACAGTCAAGTGGACGGCCTCTCTTAGTAGCGAGTGGCTCAAGGACCCCGACGGATGTGCCGGTTATGAATCCACTTGGAAGACGGGGTGCAGGCCGCCGG